TTGGCTCGGAAGCTGTCGGGCCGGGCAGTGGTGGGAAGCCTGGCTCGGAGGCCGGAGACGTCGGCTGTCCTGCCCCACGGGGCCGCAGTGTCCTGATGATAACGGTCCCACGCCGGGTACAGCGCGCTGCGGTGTGTGAAGCGGCTTCACATGGGCCTTCTCGTTCGATCCTCACACAGCAGCTCGTGGAGGGAGGCCGGGGGAGGGACTGTCGTGCATTTTGCAGACGGTAAACTGGCGCTCAGAGGAGTTGGGGAGGCTTGCCGAGGGACGCCCAGCGAGGTCGTGGCGGTGGGACTTAGGTCTCACTTCAAAGCCAGCTCCCTGGCCGCTCTTTCTGCCTCACCTGTCAAAGAAGAGGCTGAGCTAAAGGATGAGTTAGGCGAATGACTGGCCGTTCTTTTTTTTTAAATAAAAGATCTACCTCTTTCTGTACCATCCAAGTCAGAGCTAAGAAGTATTCAGAAGCCAAGCCATGGATCCACCCGCACGTAAAGAAAAATCCAAAGTTAAAGAACCTGTCAGCAGAGTTGAGAAAGCTAAGCAGAAATCAGCCCAGCAGGAGCTGAAGCAAAGACAGAGAGCCGAGGTGAGATTAAGGAGGGGGGCTCTGTTTACCTGTAGTCGGGTGGAGATGATCTGGAATAGACAGATGCCCAGACTAAAAGGGAGAGCTGTGAGGGGGAGCCCTACTTGCCTCCAGTCAAGAGGTGTTCTCCCTGGTTTAGAAAGGTCAAGTCCTGAAGGGTGAAGCGGCAGCCCAGAGGCACATGCCCGGTTAGTGTCAGAACCGCAACCAGTACCACGTCTTCAGATGACTCCTGGCGCAGAGCTTTGGTGGTAGGGACCTGAGGGAAGAGAGAAGGGAGAAAAAGAAGTGCTACGTAAGGGGAGGGGTCAGACACCCCAGCACAGGCGTTCTGGTTTTGGTGCGGAAAATAGCTACTCATAGTCAGCTAAAGGCCCAAGCCTTAAACCCACCAGTGTGTTCCTTTGTTCTCTCAACACCTAAAATCAATTTGAGAATAAAAAGCTTTAAATTGTTTACACTGCCGTTGTTGAACCACATCTAGACGTATATTATTTTAGCATGTAATATCAGAAAAAACACTTGCTGGTCTCTTTTTCCTCTTTCTGTTTGTTTTGTTTGTTTTTTGAGAAATTTAAAAATACAAAAAATTAAGGGCTGGCCTGTGGCTCACTTGGGAGAGTGTGGTGCTGGTAACAACAAGGCCACGGGTTCGGATCCCTATATAGGGATGGCCGGTTAGCTAACTTGGGAGAGCGTCGTGCTGACAACACCAAGTCAAGGGTTAAGATCCCCTTACCGGTCATATTTAAAAAAAAAAAAAAAGGACTATTATAACAAACACCTGGGTACTCAGCACTCCAGATTGGTAGTGGCTAGCATTTTGTCATGTATGCCTGGTCTTTTTAAAATAAGGTAAATAAAAATCAAATATAAATTTGAAGTCCCCTTTGTTCATTTCCTCTCTTACAACCTTTTCCCTTCTCTATAGGCAACCATTATTTTTTTGTAACTTTACATTCAAATATCTTAATAGATACCCTTAAATAATATACAATATTCTTTTGTGTTTTTAATTTTTACATTAATAAAATTTCATGTTTTGTTTTGCATTTTGTTTTACATTGTTTTCAGAGCTATTCATGTTAATATAAGAGTCTAGTTTATTCTCATCATTTGCAGTAGTCTGACTCATGAATGCACTTTAGTATATATGCTCATTCCTCCAGTGATGGACACTTAAATTATAGTTTTGTGGGGTTTTTTTTTTTCCTCCGCTATTGCAAACACTGCTGTAGTGAAAACTTAGATATCTCCTTTGGCAGCTGTGCTAGAATTTCTGCAGGGTGTTTAACTAGAAGAATTACTGGATACATTTTCAAGTTTACTAGACATTGCCAAATTGCCTTCAAAGGGATTGTACAAATTTGCACCCCCACTAGCAGTGTAAGAGAGTTCTCATTCCTCATATCTTTTCTAACACCTAATGTTATCAGACTTTCATTTGTTGTTAATTTGATCCATTTGTTAAACAAATATTGAGCTGCTCCTACCTGCCAGGCATTGTTCTAGGAACTTGAGACATATGATTGGACAAAGCAGAGTCCCTGCCTTCATGGAGCTTGCATTCCAGTGGAGGGTGGCAGACAGTAAACATAAGTAAACTTAATAATGTGTTTGAAGTTAATCTGAAAACTGAAATCTACCTTTGGATTAAGGAAGTTCATCTGAGAGCTGTGGTTCTGAGTTCTAACAAGTAGCTCTCCCCTTTCCTTTACCTTCGTATCCCCACCTGGATGCAGGCCCCCAGATGATTTTACTACGTTGTGCTTTGGTGTACAGTTTGAGGGTTGCTATAAAAAGTAGCCCTATGTATGGCTCAACCTAATATGAATATTGATAGTATTAAAAAAAAAAAGGCCCTATGAAACTGTCCTCTGTGCATACTATCAAGATAGATGTTGAGGACATTGTTCATGTCCTTATTGACAACCTGCCTATGCGGGTACACAGGTTAAATTTATTTGTCTGACTTCAAATCCCAGCTCCTCCTTAAATCCCAGTTCTTTCCATTTGCACTTGGACAAGATACTTAAACTCTCTGAACCTCAGTTCCTTAATTCCTTCTTGGGAAAATGAGGATGATAATATCTACCACATGAGACTGTTTTAAGGGATAAAAATATTATATGTAAAGCACCTTAGCACAGTGCCTGGCACAGAGAAAGCATAGGATAAACAGCAGCAATTATGATCAGGAATCTTTGTGCTTCTAACAGTCGGCTTGCTTTTCTTGTGTGGACTCTGAATTGAACTGATGCTGTTCATGTTGATTTGCCAAGATGTGATGCTGGATTTGCACTCTAGCAGCAGCTGGCACCTGTTGAGCCAAGCCTGCACATGCATGACTACATGTAATCCTCACACTAGGCTTCGAGCAGGTGTTACTGTTATTCCCATTTTAACCTTTGTAAACTCTTCCTGGAATAAGGTAGGAATATAAGAAATATATGACCCCGTGAGGTAGGAGGTATTATCCTCACTTTGAAATGAAGTAACGTTACTATGGTCTAACAGATCTTCTGACTTTTGTCTGCTGCTTTTTGCTTTGCCCTACAGCTACCTTGTTTTCCTTATCTGTATCGCCTGGAATGTAATCTCCTAACATGGGAATGGGACCAGACCCCTTGCGGGGAGGAAGAGACACAGTTTCCATTCACGTCTGCTAAGATGCCACGGTCCAGAAAGTTAGATATGAAGGAGAGATATGAGGGATGAATGGGAATGGAAGGCATATTTGGCAGTTGAAGCAGCACTTGGCAATGCCAGGAACCCTTTGTTTTGACTGAAAGTCTTTCATTCCTTGACTTGGATGCCCATTTTGAGTTTCTTCTTTCTCTGCTTATTTTATTTTCTCCTTTCTCCTACCATCCTCCCTCCTTGATCTGGAGGTCTCCAAGAAGCTATTTAATGTCTCTCTCAGTCCCTAGCACAGTTATGTGCAGATTACAAATGCTCATTAAATAGTTATTGAATGAATGAAGCAAAGGTTTTTTAAAAAACGTATGTGTATGTGTTTAAAGTATATATAATGTGTGTGTACAGCTTAAAGAAGATAACTAAAACAAACACCCTTGTATCTACCACCCAAATGAAGAAATAGAACATGAGCTATAACTTGAAATCTCCATGTCCCATTCTGGTCATACACCTGACCTTTCCCACTTGCAGTACCCTCTTTGCTAAATTTTATGCTAATAATTCCTTTGCTGTTCTATATTAATTTTCTACCTCTGTGTATACCCCTAAATAGTATTTTGTAGCATAACAGTATATTGTCTAGTTTTGCATGTGTCTAAGCTTTTATATGTTACTGTATTCTGTGACTGGCTGTCCTCAGCATTTTCTTAACCATTCACATTTATTATTTTTATTTAAAATATTTTATTTTAAAATATATATAACAAAAAATTTACCATTTTCACCATCAGCTTTATGTTGTTCGAGAATCATTTGTGGTGGTGTTTGCAACTGTTTTCCTTACTGTATGGAATTCCATTTTCCTTAAAGACAATAGGATCATTCAAGCTTTTTAATTTGTTTTGATCATTTTACTATTTTCTAGGAATTTAAATTTTCAAATGTGTTGGCACAGAGTTCATAATGTTTTGTTTTCATCTCCCTTATGTCAGTAGTTATGCGTTCTTTCTGGTTCCTAGTAATGCTTGTTTGTCCCTACTCCCTTTTCTTGATAAGTCATGTCAGGTTTGCTGGGTTTTTTTAGTATTTCCAAAGAACCATCTTGCAGTTTTGATGATCCTCTCTATGGTATGTTTGGTTGCTATTGCTATTAATTTCTGCTCTTATTTTGTATTTTCTCTTTGTTCCACTACTCAGTTTCATTTCTTTCCCTTTCTTGTCTTCTTTTCAGTTAATCAAGTTATATCTTCTACACACACGCGTGCGTGCACGCACACACCCCTTCATTTTTTTCCCTACAAGTTGGTACGTTGTACGTTCTGTTTCTGTTCTTTAATGGATAGATTAATTACTGTGAGGATAAAGGTGAGGAATGAAGTGTAGATGCCCTGCCTTTCTTTCACCTTAGAATGTCTCTTGCAGTCTCCTTCCCATCCCCACTGCCTGCCCTAGGCCATATTCCCCCTATCTCCTCCCTGGACTGTTGTAACAGATGCCTCCTAAGTGGTTTATAATCTCTCCTCTCCACACTCCATCACTCACATAGCCTCCAGTTATCTTTCCCAAAGTACAGATATAATCAAGTTGCTCCCCTGCACACTTATCTTTGCTGGCTCTCCAGAGTCCAACAGATAAAGTCCAGATTCCTTGGCATGGCAGTTAAGGACCCAACATACTTTTCTTGTTTTCTCCAGCTACCCAACCCCCGGTCTATAATATTCTTCATATTGGCATGCTTAGAGCTTTCAGAACTGACCCTATACTTTTCCATCATATTTAGGCATACTTCCCCCCCATCACCTATCACGTCCCATCCCCAATCTCTACCTGTTGAAATCCTATGATCTCTTAAAGACCAAACCAAGCCACCTGCCTCAGTGCTTTCCTGATTCCCCAGTGGAATTAATATCCACCTTTCCTGTTCCCAAATCACTATTCCTGCATTACCATTACTGGTGCAGTTCTGCATTTACAGATGACACAGCCCATTGTGTGTGGAGAGATACATTGAGCAGCTGCTTCCGTTGCTAACATATCTCTTTCTCCCATTCAGATATATGCCCTTAACAGAGTCATGACAGAACTGGAGCAGCAGCAGTTTGATGAGTTCTGTAAGCAGATGCAGCCTCCTGGAGAGTGAGCTATCCGTGTTCAAACTGGATGGGACCCTGGAGGCTTTGCTTGTGAGCTTGTTACCAGTTTTAAGCTGAGATGGTCCATTTGGAGCGTTACAGAACTAGAAAAGAAGACATTTGCGGATAAATCTGAACTTAAGTCCTACAAGTAACTTGTCTCACTGGTTCCTTCAATCTGAATTGGCCCAGTGCTTGCTGAAGAGACTTGTTTTCTTCTTCTATGACAATAGATTCTTTTTTTAAAAAAAAACTTTTTCTATTGTTTGAGAAAAATCAATGTTTCTTCTGAAACTGTATATCTTCTCCAAAAATGCAAATAAAACACTAATAAAATTGTAACACCCTGAACAGAAGTGACTCCATTTTGTTAAACTTCTAAATTAAAGTTTTTTTCTTAGTCTTGTAACCCGAACTGCATAGCTTGCAGCTGGACATTAGAATACAATGATTCTTGTTCACATGATTGCTCACACTGTACACAGAATAATTATAGAAGAAATTATTAACCCAGGTGGCCATTCTTTACTCGCTTACTAACTAGGTCTTTTTGAGGTTAACAGGAACTGAATCCATGACTTGACTTCATGGAGGATGGTCACCGTGAATCAGCTCCGACCCAAGAAGTTCTTTGTTTATCTGCAATTTGATGATTATGCCTGCACATCTGTGCTTAGATTACCATGAATCAGCCCCCTATCAACTGTCCCTATAAAGCCCTTTGGCAAGTCTGGGAAAAGTGGAGATGGTCTTTGAGACATGAGTCCACCCTTTCCCCCAGGCTGCTGGCTTCCTGATTGAAGGCTACCTTTCCTTACACCAACACTTGTCTCTCAATTATTGGCTATTGAGCTGCGAGCAAACAGACTTTTGGGGTTTCAGTAACAAAATGTTTGTTTGCTTGTACTTTAGCATGAGAGTGCTGAGACTTAGAAAATAGAGTCAGAAAATATGTAATAAATAGGTAAGAAAAGTTGAGGAGAGCAAAAGGCACCCTTATCTCCTTTAAGAGCAGGGTAGAGAAGAGAGGAGAAAGAGCATGATTGCTTCCAGTTTTCATTCTTCCTGGGGCCAAAGCTCTGCAGACACTGCTGATCATAAGTTTTTAGGCACACAGATGTAAGTACATGACCCTTTACTCCCAGATGAGCCACTAGTCAGGGTTGGAAGCTTGAAGCTGGGATTCCCCTCACCTGTGGAGAGCTAGCAGCAAGCTGCCCCAACAGGGAGAGGGACTGCATGTGCTTTTTGCTGTTCTTTTTGGGGGGGCTACTTTATCAGGCCTAGAAATGGGTTTGTGACGGCAATGTTCAGACTGGTCCCTCAAAAAGCGGTCACACCCATTTAACTGCCATTTTTAGGTGCAGAAATGTATGGCAGTTTCTGCTGCAGACATTTGTATCAGAAATGGTAGTTCATACCTGAGTTTTAGCAGTGAAGTTATTTTCGCTGAGCAAAAGGAGAGATTATTCTTTCAGGATATTTCATTTCCAAATTTTCCTTGGGAGTAGGGGGGGAAGGATTTCAGAGAGCTGAATAAATATAAATAAGGCATATCACTCAAGGCAAAAGAGCCAAACACTGCCACCTCCTTTAAACTGGAAATGCCTATATTTTCCCTACTACTGCTGGGACATCTCAAACTATCCCCATCTCCTCTGTCTCCTTACTGTCTCTGAAGTCACTGAGAATACTGTTCCCATTGCTGTGCCTTATTTTAGGGGTAAACTGTGGAGTTAATTCGTTGTTAAGAAACTTGTTACCACTGTGGAAAATGTGTTTTTGAGACCTAAGTTATAATTAAGGATAATCTTTACATAGATTATCCCCAGAAATAGTAATTAGGTCTATAGCATCCTACTAAATTTGGGATGAATGGAGTTTTTGTTTTATTTTGTTGAAGGAGTAGACAGTTGGAGGAAGCTATCCTTATAAACACAAGGAAATGCTGCGGTATGCTAGAAAGAGCACAGTTTTAGAGCCAAAGACCTGGGTTTAAGTGCCAGTTAACTTCTCTGAGCGTCCCACTTTCTATCTACATAATGGAATAATATTTTCTTCTTCCCAGGATCATTGTTGAGAAATAATGTATGTAATAGATACTCAGTGTCTTAGTCTGTTTTGTGCAGCTCTAACTGAATACCCGAGACTAGGTAATTTATAAAGAACAGATATTTATTACAGTTCTAGAGCCTGAGAAGTCCTAGATTGAGGGGCCAGCATCTGATGAGGCCTTTACTGCAGTGTCATCCAATGGCTGAAGGTGGAAGGGCAAAAGAGCCAATTGGGGGCGGGGGGGGGAGTAAGGGGACAAACTCATCCTTTTATTAGGAACCTACTCCCAAGATAATGGCATTAATCCATCCATGAGGGCAGAGCACTCTACCTCTCAACACTGTTGCATTGGGGATTAAATTTCTAACACATGGACTTTGAGGGGACACGTTCAAACCATAGCACTCAGTAAATTTTACTTTCCTTCCCAACTACCTTTCAAATTGTTTTATGGGAAATGTTTCAAGTTCCAAATAACTAAGTAATACATGAGCGTTGTTAGGAAAGATTCTGATCCTTAGTTGGAAACTGCTTGTATTAACATGTCTCAGCCTTGGGTATATTCTTGTCCTGGAGAAGCACTGTAGTAAGGTAGAGCTGTTCAAACTGCAGGTGGTTGTAAAATCAGTTTAATAAATTATGACCAGCTTTTCTTTTTAATGAAATAGATTAGAAAATATCACATGTGGTACTGATGTTTCATGAAGCTTTTGTTTCATGTTTATATACATTAGGAATGTATATACCATGTTCGATGTAAACTTATTTCTTACTGTGGGTTGTGGTAAAAAAAAAAAAAAAAGTTTGAGATACAAGAGGATGCCTGAACCAAGACAGGAATGGGTCTTTTTATTCACATTTGTAGGGTAAATGTTGGACATAGCCCTGTCCCCACCTCCCCGTGCATACCGGAGTTCCCCCTCCCCCCTGGGAGACTACCCCTGACGAAAGTAGCTACCCAAGGAAAGGCATGTCCCCTTGAAGACAAACAGAATGATGGAGAGAGCAGGGACCCTAAGTAAAAACAAACACTCTGGCACCAGGAGAGTAGCGATAGATTAACTTATCTACCCAGCCAGATCTCCAGAGCTCTCTGAGTTATGTGAACTGGGTGAGGGTCTGCACGTAGGCCTGAAAATGATTTGCATCCCTACTCTGATCTGTTAACTACATAACTATTTATGTACTCCATGGTGGCGTGGATTTCTAACCGACTGCCGCCTTGGTACCTCTTGTAAGTCTAATAAACCAATGTCTCTACCCACTGGACCTCCGGGTGATTTCTTTGGAATAGGTAAACACTACACAAGTGCCCTCTCAGATTTGGGGCTTCCTCATTACAACATATTAAAGTAAAAAAAAGATTCATCTTCTACCTCTGAGAAATATCAGGGTAAGGGCTTCTGTGGCCATTGTATCCATAATTGGAACAGCATTGAATGCCAAGGCTCTATAATAACTTAATCAATGAAAACTAGGAACACATCATTTCTGCTTACCTACCTGGAATTCCCTAATTTTGATGTGGTCCCAGTTTCTCAGAGGTAAGAGAAGATATTTTTGAAGCCCTGCCTCAAAAAATCAAGAATGAAACACAAAATAAAAAATAAAAATGAGAGCACTGACTTTGGCAGTCAGGCCACCTGGGTTTGACTCTTAGGTCCACCACTTACTAATTGTGTGGGCAAGTTTTAATGTCAGTAATTCTCAAACTTTTTGGTCTCAGGACTTTTTCATGTTCTAAAAATTGAAGACCCCAAAGAGCTTTTGTTTATGTGTGTTGTATGTATCATATTTGCCATATGAGAAGTTAAAACAAAAGTTTTACAATTTTGGGCCGGCCCGGTGGTGCACTGCTACAGTGCGCCTCTTGGGAGCGCGGCAGCGCTCCCGCCGAGGGTTCGGATCCCACATACAGACAGGCCGCTCACTGGCTGAGCGAGGTGCGGGCGCAACACCGAGGGTTGCGATCGTGTTGCCGGTCCCGGTCTGGTACGGGCGTGACACTGAGGGTTGTGATCCGTTGCCGGTCACGAAAAAAGACAAAAAGGAAAAAAAAAAAAAAAAGTTTTACAATTTTTATTAATTCATTTAAAAATAATAAAAACCATTATAGGTTAACATAAATTACATTTTTGTAGAAAAAATATTTCTAAAACAATCATTTAGTGAGAAGAGTGGCATTGTTTTACATTTTCTCAAATCTCTTTAATATCCAGCTTAACAGAAAACAGCTAGATTCTCATGTCTGACTTTGTGTTCTGGATTCTCACATTGTATTGGTTGAAGTATATAAAGAAAATCTAGCCTCATATTGAGATGTAGTTAAAAAAGAGAGGGGTGTTTTAATAGCCATTTTAGATGATTGTAGATATTCTTTGATACTATACCCAAACTCAACAAGTGGTTGTTTCTTAAAGGTCTATTGTAACACGGAATCTGATACTACATCAATGAACTTTTTGTACTCTGCTACATTAAAATCCTTGGGTCTTTGAATATTACGCTTTGAATGGATCTTTCATCCATGCATGATTTTGTAACATCATGCATTGGTCATTTAGAAAATATTGGTTCACTGAGTTATGCAGATCTTCCGAATGTTGACACACTGCATTATACAACATCAAAAATATTATTCATTAATGTCCTCACTGATTTCATCAGAAAAGTCTTTGAGTATTGGAAAGGTGTCAAGCTCACAGTGGTAGAAATAAGTTTACCAACATTTTAATTTTCACTTGGAAGCTCAAATTTTATCCTTAGCAACAAAAACATTTTCTTAAAGTGACAGGCTCACTCAATGCATATTTCAAGAAAACCAAGTCTGAACAGCTAGTTTGTCTGTCAATTGTCCTTTGGTGTTTCATAACACCACAGCTAGCTCAGCACAAACTCAAACCAGTGCTTGTCCTCGAGATACCATCATAACCTCAGTATGCAGCAGAAGCACTTTATGCATGCTTTCCATTTCACTGCACAGAATATTAAAAAGTTGTATACTCAGGGTCAACATTTAATAAAATTAATATTTTTTACTGCTTCATCAGGGCCATTCCTTAGTAACACTTTCTATTTTTTTTTTTTTTACTGTGAGCACGTGGCAGTGAAAAGTACAATGACTATCAGTACCATTTAGAGCCATTGCCTTGATTAAGATGCCAGCACTTTACCATTACTTTGCTCCATTAGCAAAAATGTTAACATAGTGACATTTGAGTCTGTGTTTTAGGATTATTAAGAAAATAGCTTTGACCCTGAAAGGGTCTCAGGAACCCCAGGGATCCACAGAATCACACTTTGAGAATTGCTGACCTTAATGAAGCCTATGGTCACCGACCTCATTGGATTGTTTAGGGGATTAAGTGAAACAGTAAAATGCAAGGAACGGTTGCTGGCACATAGTAAGTTATATAGTATAAAGCAAATGTTTATATTTACTACACATAGAAAATGTTAATTATTACTTTAAATTCAAAAATATATATGGGAAGGAAGGATGGCTAGAGGGGAGAGAAAGAACAGTCTAACATTTAACACCTTTTACATGCCATTCACTATTCTAGTGTTTCATGCATCATTGTATTTAATCCACAAAACAACCCTGAGAGGAAATAAATCTTTCATTTTGTAGATAAAAAAAATGTGCTTGGAGAGATTAAACATTTTACTTGAGATCACAGAGCTAAAAAAGTAGCAGAATTCACAGTCACTTGACTGCTCACCAGACACAAGGTTAGGAAGAGGGGACTAGACACTGACCTGGAAGGAAATCACCCTCAATCCCAAGTTTAGGACTAGCAGGAATTCTATGAGAGTATGGCTCCACCTCTACACCAGCTCAGGATCTCAGATGCTAATGCCAATAGTGCCTAAGAAACAAAGAGACAGGAGCTCTCTTGTCTTTTAGGGTCGGTTTGATAGATATATGTAAGTAACTAGACAATTATAACCTAATGCAATCTCAGGATCCATATTCATATACTCATCTGAGTAGTGTTTATTTATTTATTTATTTATTTAAAGTCTTGGGCTTCTCACATTGGATGGTTAGCATTAGCATTAACATCTGAGACCCTGAGCCAGTGCAGAAGTGGAGCTGCCCTCTCACAGAGCTGCAAGAAAGCACATAGCCCTCTGTTACATCAAGAGGCTTTCAGCTGATCTATAACTATTCTAGTGTCACTAACCCACAAAATATGAGGCAATGAAGTATCAATTATTGTTATAACCAAACCACAATTTATACATCCAAATAGGTATTTTACTCTTTAAAGCAGTGCTTTTGGGGGTCTATATATTTATTTTAACTCTGCTGCCGTCACTTAAAATAGACATGGAAATCCTCTTTCAGAACTGTATCTTTTTCCTTTGAACATAGTTTCAAATTTTAGAAACAGCAAGAAGTCATTTGAGGCCAAATAGGATAACTAATGTGATTTAAGTATAGAACATCATTAGCTAATCTCAAATATTAGGTTTTTGGAATAAATTTGGTGGGTTCAGAGTAAAACAAGTCTTTTGGGGGTTCTTTGTTGTTTTAGGGTTTTTTGTTGTTTTTTTGAGCACCAACTATATGTAGGCACTGTGTAGCTGGTCCCTAAGAGGCAACATAAAGACAGTTCTCAAATTGGAGTTCTTAAAATATTTTGATTAAGGACAGCATCACACTAAAATGAATGTAGGCACTGAAGGACAACACATTGAAATGTCTGAGCCCATGTATATTTGTAAAATTCTTACTACATTATAGTAACCTTGTATATAACTTACTAAAATCCACATCTAAATCAATTCATCTACAAAGTAAACATTTTGAGTGCCAGGCACTGTGGCAGGTAGCAGAAATATAAAAACGTAAACTGAAGGAGATTAAAACTTAATGGGACAAAAAAAAAAAGAAAAAAGCCCAAACTTAATGAGACAAAGACACATTCATCCAACCATGACAACATAGAAATGACACAACAGAGAGCATGGGAGGAGGGTACTACCTGTTCCTTTAGAGCCAATCATAGCAATGTGGGCTGCTCTGGACTTTTATTTTTAAAAATCTAATTTAGATATGATGCATATTTACCATATACATTGTTGGGAAAACTTCAAAAAGTTAGACCTGTGGTAAAAGGTGCTCTGGTGCCATCTTTGAGTAAGGGGCAGAATTAGCTAACAATCCTTTCGGTCTGCCCTCCGGAGGTGGAAAGTCCAGAGGTCATGCCGGGCGCTCGTTGCTTTCAGTGGACCCAAGTTCTCTTTGAGGTACACCTTTACAGAATGTTTAAGTTACAGCCCTATACACTTTCAAGAGTGGGCAACGTGACTGTCCTGTGATTAGCTCTGCTCTGAGACAAGACTCTGCAGGTGTAAGAAATGCCTCAGTAAGCCCCCACCCCCACTCCCTGCCACACTGGGGCAATTATGATCAGGCAGGGCTGAGGCAGAGTCTGTACCAGCTCTGAAGGATTTCACTCCTTTCCAAGGGAAGAACCTTAGTGCACAAGGTCATCCAGCTAGTAACAGAGCTGGAACTCAAGCCCAGCCCAAATTTGGTGGTGGTGGGGGGATTCTGTTCTACATGACATAAACAAGTATTGTCACCAAGGGAGTCAGAACCCTGAATTAAGAAAAGAAGCAAAAGCCGCTGGCCCTACTGTGGGTTGTTCTGGTTCAAGGCAACAGAGATACAATGTATCTAGCACATGACAACACACATACAAGGGAAGCTTTAGTGAGGATAAGGCAAGGCTTGGCCCAACATGCTGGCGCAAACCCCACAGAGGCAGTGGGAGTTGGTAGAGCTGTTTAGTTTCCTCAGTGCTGTAGCCTAAGACAGGCCGCTTTGCCCCACAGAGCATCTGGAAAGAAGATGTAGGACAGCGACCACATCAGGCAGTAAAAAGCAATTAGAGAGAAGGGGGAGAAAAACAGCATGACGACACCTGGAAGAAGAAATGCAGACACTCAATTTTTGTGAGCTGTCTTACACGTTTCCCGCCCTCTGCTCTCCCATCCCCACCCTCCCATCCTTCATTTTATTCTCACAGTGCCCAAGAAACAAACAAACAAAGAGACAGGAGCCCTGTCTTTAAGTTCAGTTTAACAGACAAATGTAAGTAACTAGACAATTATAACCTAATGAAATCTCAGGTTCCATTTTGTCAAATTTACATCAGAAATCAGTCCTAGCCAGCAATAAATTTGAGTTGCCCAGATTCCTTGTTAGGAAAAAGAAAAATCTTCCCAATTATTTCAAGTTTAACATGAGATACTGGCCAATACAATATTAAACATATACAGAAAAGAGTTAACATAGCAGGCCTGAGACTGCCATCCTTAGAAAGTCTTGATTGCAAGGTTGGCCCTTGGGTGACATCTGGAAACTTGAATAGTAAATAGTTTCCCACCCCATTATAAAACTTTCCCTAACTGAGTGGCTCACTACACCTAGACTGTTCTTCAAGCATGGTGGTAACACTTGTTTCCTTCTGGGAGTCTGGAATTTTGGTATGTGCTCGGCAGAGGGTGCCTACATGGCCAGCCCCCAAGCAAAACCTTGGACACTGAGTCTCTGATTAGCCTCTCTCCTACACGACACTCTACATGTATCATCACAATTCAGTGGTGGAGAAATTAAGTGTGTCCTGTGTGACCACATGGGGAGAGGACCCCTGGAAGCTTGCACCTGGTTTCCTCTGAACTTCGTACCATGTACCTCTTTCCCTTTGTTGATTTTATTTTGTATCCTTTTGCTGTAATCAATCTTAGCCATGAGTACAGCAATATGCTGAGTCCTGTGAGTCCTCCTGGCAAATCACTGAACCTGGAGGTGGTCTTGGGGACTTCCAACACAATTTGAATCTCAGATTCACCTCCAAAAAGCAAAAGGGCACCCACATTAGTGGAATATGTACTTTGCACTGGACATTCTGCTAGGTATGTTACATAAACTATTTCATTTACACTTCACAATAATCCTGTGATTTAGAATTAAGTCTGTTTTTCAGATGAGGAAAGAGAAGTAACCTGCACAAGATCTTGATTCAAACCTATGTCTGCCTGACTCTTAAAAACTAGACACTTACATGGCCTCAGAAAACTCAAAAAGAGGGTGGGAGAGGATGGGCCAACAGCATTTCCATGGGAATAACCACCATGTATTCAGTAAGAGAAATCAGAACATATGATTTAACAGAAGACCACCTCTAGGTGCTTCTGTAAGAAGCAGTTAAGGATATGTATTAAAATTCTGGAATACTGCATTTCAGAATAGTCATTGATCTGTTGAGGCAAGGAGACAAATATTTAAAACCAGAGCTGTCCTGGAAAATACATGACATAAGGTCTCAGAAGCTGGCCTATGAATGTATGGAGCTCTGTCAGGGGGAAGGGACCTCTGTCTAAAAAGGTGACTTGGCTGCATGCCAGGTAAGAGGAGTATCAGCAGCAGCTGTTTTGAAAACTATGCAGCAGGGCTCTGGTATTATCTGGAGTCAAAATCTGTGAGGTGCAGTTTCCTCCTTGACTCACACAGCAAAAATAATCCAAGGAAGGGTAATGACAAGTGTATGCTTTATTTTGAGAAGAGGGGATCAGTAGTACCTATGGGAACAGAGAACACCGTGGGAAATGCTGCTGCTATGAGATAGGAGAAGGGGACGTGGAGGAGAAGAGCGGGACTAGAATGACCCTTTACCGTACACATCTGTGCCAGAGGATTTATATTCATTATCTCATTTAATCTCAGTAATCCCGCAAGTAGGGATTATTGGCTTCATTTTATAGATGAAGAAAATTGAGCTCAAAACAGTGAGGTATTAGCCCAAGTTCATACAGCTAATATGTGCTGGAGTTGGAATTTGAACTCAGGTGTGTTTGGCTCCAAACCCAGACTCTTCTCACAGCAATGCTGCCTCTGCCATCCGGGGCACTGGAGGAACCAGCACCTAGAACCTGGATGGGTTGTTGGTGCTAATGCTTCAAAAGGCATGAACTTTAAGGGGAAGGTCAGGATGGAACCAAGGACCTGCAAACTAGAGTGGACTCACAACAAGGAGTATCCCTGGAGATGTCTTGTTTATATGAGCACATTTTAAAAGAAAAATATTGATATTCCTTGAAAAAAAACCCAAATCATGGAAAACTCTAGGGAGACATCTGCCAGGGCCCCAGTGTGACTGGGACCTCAGGGCCTGGAACCCAACGCTCAGTTGCTTAAGGCCAAAACCTGGGAGTCATCCATGCTCCTCCTCCCTGCTTGATACCAGTTCTATTTCCAACATGTATCTCAAATTCAATCACTTCTCCTTATGTCCACTGCCACTGTCACCTCTTGTCTGAACAAAAAGTTGGTTTCCCACTTCCATTCTCAGTCTCCTACAATCTATTCTCCATATTGCAGTCAAAGTGACTGCTGAAAACTGCCACCCTGATCACCTCACTTCCCTGCATAAATCCTTTCAGAGGCTTCTCATTTGCCTTTAGGATCATAGCCCAAATCCTGTCCAGTCTGCCGACTTTGCTCGCCTCAGTTTGTGTCACGAGCTCTCTCTCAGCAAGTTCCAGCCACTCTGCTCCACTAATGCACCCAGCACCTCTGGCCTCAGAACTGTCACTACTTTCCTCTGCTTGAACTACTCCTCCTACTCACCTGGCCACTCACCTTGCAGGTCTCACTTAAACATCGCCTCCTCAAGGACCCTTTCCCTCCCTTCAGACCATCCCAATCTAAATTAGGTCACCCTTTGACACCCTCTGAGAGCAGCCAGTACTTTCACGATACATCAAAACTATGTTTCTAGTTATTTCCGCCATTAGTTTTTTGGTGTCTGTCTCCCCTATGAGACTGTAAATTTGGAGGCAGGGACTGTCCAATTTACCAGTTTGATTCCCAGTACCTGGCACATGGTAGGTTCTACCTAAATTTCTATTGAACTCATTAACATTCAGCAAATATTTACTGAGCATCTATTACGTCATTGGCACAATTTTAGGACTGGGATTACAGCATGAATAAAAGAGATTCGTCTATTGGGGGTAGGCTTAGTGTTTGAATAATAAAAGACTAATAAATACGTATTATGTCAGATGGCCAATTCTACAGGGAAAAATAACGCTGAGGAAGGGAGACGGAATGCTGGAGTGAGCTATGGGTGGCAATGAGCAGCAGCGATAAACCAGCCACTAGGGATATTTGAGAGCAGTTTTCACTTACCGCCCATATAAATGACTTTTTTCCAGTTCTCAGACTCAAGGATCTCGTCGTGTGGGTAGTAACTCTGGTCCATCATGAATAAAATCATGAGCGAGGCCATACAACAGAGAATGAACGTGTTGCCTTTGGTCAGGAGGGAAGTGGAAGCCAACACGCAGGAAGCATAGGAGCAAGGCAGGCCCTTGTATGTGAAGGGGACTCCTGCCAAGGAAAGAACACACAGGGATCAGCCGCTTCCCCCTGCTCTAAAGGCATCTAGATGAAACAGGCCCCTCTCTCTTTGGGTCTTCCCCTACCCAGGCTACAAAATGCCCTGAAATCCAGGGGCATTGGCAGGCTGTAAATCATCCTGCTATTCACAAACACAGATGATGCATGAGTTTTGCACTGGGTTTCCAAGGGAAAGCAGATGGCCAGCTAGGACTACGGGTGTGCCCTGGCCCCCAGGAGTTCTCTGCTGAAAGGATCCTTTGAGATCTCCTAGCCAAAGCCCCATGCTGTATCTATACTCCCTCACTCTGTGACCTTAGGCAAAGCAATTGCCCTCAACAGGGCACAGTTTCTCCATCTGTTTGGGGGAACTGGAGTACAACCTCAGTTCTAAAGTCCATGAATCGATGTACTCCATCCAAAGGTCACAAGTAAGAAAGAGGGACATCTACTCTAGGAAATGCGGACCTCCCAGACCAGGGCTCTGCAGGCCATTGCAGTCTGCAGCCTCCAGTGGACATGGGGCATGGGAGAAAGAAGGAAGAGGGACTGCAAAGCAGGAGTCAGTTACTACACCCCAGGCTTGTGGCATCCAACATCTCCCTTCCGTGGTCTCCTGCCCTCAGTCCTAAGGCCACCTGCGTTCAGCTTACCAGTTGAATAAAAACAGAGGCGGAAAGATGCAGCTGCCACATAGATGATGGCCAGGAAGCCATTCAAAGGCCCATCCACACCCAGGAGCAGGGCTGAAGCCAGGCCAAAGGTGGTGAAGACAGCAAAGTCGTTCAGCTCAGTTCCTGCTCCAGAAGGCCCAAGGTTAGAGGAATCTGCACTTGTATGTCTTGCGCCTTAGCCCCCTCTGGTGGGGAGCTGAAGTGGTGACAAGCAAGGTCCTGAGGTCCCAAAGAGCAGCAGCAGCAGCTCCCTGGTGTGATATGTAGATCAAAGACTGGGGTTTTCTCCTGGCTCTGCCTGGGACTGACCACGCAGCCTTAGGCAAGCCTTTTCCTCTCCAGGTCTTAGTTTTCCCACCCTCAACATGCAAGTGTTGGACTACAATTGGGTACAAATTGATAAGTTGTGGGACCCTTTGTTCAAGCAAAATCTTACATGGAAACTGTATTTTAAACCAGCTGTTCTGCCTGGGGTAATTTTTCATCTCCCCATTGCCCCCACCCATTTTCCCTCCACCATGCCTACTCCAATACCTAGATCAGCCCAGAATGGGGAGGGAGGGAGGGAAGATAAGGAAATCGAAAGCCAGGAAAAGAACTAGCCAAAGATCAATAAGTGAGACAGCAGAGGAGCTGAATCTAGACTGTGGGGCTCCCTAACTCCTGCTCCAGGTCTCCTTCTGGTACTCTCAGAGGGATGTGAACAGGAGTGGGTGTCTGGTAAAGGCCTGCTGGATGTTAGGGGATGGAGGCAGGGACCTGAGATGGATGCTCCTGGGGCCAGAGATTAGGGTCCTGAGGCCTGGACTCACCTGATTTGGGGCAGATGTTGAGGTGCTTGGTCATTGTCTGGACTGCAGTATCTAATAGGAAGCTGACCAGAAGCATCCAGGAGGCACAGTGGGATTTCCTAAAGTGCAGGCCGGCAGGCCCAGACAGCACAGCTCTTTCACAGTCTGCAGTGGACAACCACTCCTCCCCCATCTCAATATGCGAACAAACTTCCTACACACTTCCTACATTTGCACACATACACACACTCCTGCATGCTCCCCACACTCACATCCTGATATATACTGCTTTACACACCTCCCATAAACACACTCACCCCTTCACAGGTGTCTACATCCTTCTCATCCCTCCCATACTCTTAACCCACAGTCTTAAAGGGGTGTCCTGAATCCCCTAGGTAGTCACTAAAGTTCCTTCCAACTCTAAATTCCAGGCATTTTTGATGGCTTGGGGGTGCTAAGGTTCTAGCCCAGCCTCTGCCACCATCTCACTGTGAATTCTCAGATAAATCACTACCCTGTTCCTCCATCTGTAAAATGAGCAGTTTGTGCTAAGTGATTTCTTTAATAGATATAAACTGCTATGGGTCAAGTGTGTCCCCGAAAGTTCATAATCAGAAATTTGACCACCATTGTAACAATGTTAAGAGGGTGGGAAATCCAGTTATGGTACTGGAAAGGTGTGGCCTTTAAGAGGTGATTAGGTTGTGAGGACTGTGCCCTCCTGAGTGGATTGATCCATTCATGGACTAATGGGCATGTTTTTGATGGCTTTATAAGGAGAGCAAGTGAGAAGGTCAACTCACTCTTGCTCAGGCCATTCTCGCCATGTGATACCCTGGTTGCCACTGGACCCTGTGGAGAGTTCCCACCCAGAAGAAGTCCCAAGCCAGATGCACCCCCTGGACCATGGACTTCCAAGTATTTGAAACTAAGAAATAGATTTTGTTTCTTTATAAATTACACAGTTTCAGGCATTGTGTTATAAGCAACAGAAATGGACTAATATGTAAACCTATTCAGAGGATCTATTTCTCCTTGGGCAAGTCTTGGTAGCATATGTCTTTTAAGGAATAGATCCATTGGGCCGGCCCGGTGGCGCACTGGAGGGTGCGCCGCTTGGGAGCGCAGCGGCGCTCCCGCCGAGGGTTCGGATCCCATGTGGTGACCGGTTCCCGCTCACTGGCTGAGCGTGGCACGGGCACAACGTAATAACTTCGTATAGCATACATTATACGAAGTTATACGATGTTTATTTATTTATTTATTTATTTAAAAGCAACAGAAATGGACTAATATGTAAACCTATTCAGAGGATCTATTTCTCCTTGGGCAAGTCTTGGTAGCATATGTCTTTTAAGGAATAGATCCATTGGGCCGGCCCGGTGGCGCACTGGAGGGTGCGCCGCTTGGGAGCGCAGCGGCGCTCCCGCCGAGGGTTCGGATCCCATGTGGTGACCGGTTCCCGCTCACTGGCTGAGCGTGGCACGGGCACAACACCGAGGGTTGCGATCCCGTTGCCGGTCCCCAGTACGGGCACGACACCGAGGGTTGCAATCCCGTACCGGTCAGTAAAAAAGACAAAAAGGAAAAAAAAAAAAGGAATAGATCCATTTCATCTAGGCTGTCAAATCTGTGGAGTTGCTCATAGTATTCCTTTATTATCCTTTTAATGTTCATGGGATCAGTAGTAATGGCCTCTCTTTCATTTCCGAAATTAGTATTTGTGTCATCTCTCTTTTTTTCTTGGATAGCCTGGCTAGAAGTATAGGTATCAATCTTACTGATCTTTTCAAAGAACCAGCTTTTGGTTTCATTAATTTTCTCTATTAATTTCCTGTTTTCAATTCTTCGATTGCTGCTCTAGTTTTTATTATTTCTTTTCTTCTGCTTACTTTGAATTTAGTTTGCTCTTCTTTTTCTAGTTTCCTAAGATGAAACTTATTGATTTTAGACTTTCTTTTCTAATACATGCATTCAATGCTATAAATTTCCCTCTGCACTTCTTTCCCCACATCCCACACATTTTTTGTTTTTAGTTATTTAAGGGCATGAGTCACCTCTTATATTGCTTTTTAATTTTATGTTATTTAAAAATTTTTTTTTACAGTTTTTTATTAAAACATATTGATTGTACATATTTGTAGGGCACAGAGTTGAATATCAACACATATATACAATGTGTGATGAGCAAATCAGGGTAATTAGCATATTCATGATTACAAAACTTAATTTTTTTGATATAAGGTCATTTGATCTCTATTCTAGCCATTTGATAACATGCAATAAGTTATTGTTAATTATAGAGGCTTAACTCGACTATACATGCATAGAACTTATTTTTCCTACCTGGCAGTTATGTGTCCATTAACCAACCTCTCACTATCCCCTCTCCCCCTCCCCCTTTCCCACCACTAGTCATCAGTTCTGCTCCCTCTTGAAAGTTCAATTTCTCTCTCTCTCTCCCCCCCACCCCTCTCTCTTCTCTCTCTCTTTTTAGCTCTTATTTATGAGCAAGAACATGCAGTGTTTCTCTTTCTGTGCCTGGCTTGTTTCACTTAGCATGATTTTCTCAAAGCTCATCCTTGTCACTGTGAATAGTGGTAGGTACCACCGTTTCACTCTTTTTATGGCTGAGCAGTGTTCCATTGTATATATGTACCACATTTTCTTTATCCAATCATCCGCTGACAGATGTTTAAGTTGGTTCCAAATCTTGGCTATTGTGAATAGAGCTGTGATAAACATGGGAGTGCAGGTATCCCATCAACGTGATTTCCATTCCTTTGGGTATACACCCAGAAGTGGGATGGCTGGATCACATGGTAGTTCTATCTGTAGTTGTTTGAGAAACCTCCATACTGTTTTCCATGATTGCTGTACTAATTTATGGTCCCACCAACAATGTAGGAGGGGTCCCCTTCCTCCACATCCTCACAAGCATTTTTTTATTTTCTCTTTTTGATAATAGCCATTCTATCTGGGCATCCCACAAATTTTGATAAATTGTATTTTCATTTTATTTTAGTTCAAAATATTGTCTGAGACTCTTTTATCCATGTATCATTTAAAAGTGTGTGTTTAATCTCTAAATTTTCAGTATTTTTCAGCTATCTTTCTGTTACTGATTTTTAGTTTAATTCCATGTGGTTTAGGAGCATTTTTTTTTTCCTTTTTGTCTTTTTTTCATGACCGGTAACGGGATCGCAACCCTCGGTGTCACGCCTGCACCGCACTCAACCAGTGAGCGGACCGGTCTCTTTATAGGATTCGAACCCTCGGCGGGAGCGCCGCCGCGCTCCCAAACGCCGCACTCTACTGAGTGCGCCACCGGGCCAGCCCTTAGGAGCATATTTTATATGATTTCCATTTTTAAAAACTTTGTTAAGGTGTATTTTATGGCCCAGAATGTGGTGTGTCTTAGTGAATGTTCCAAGTGAGCTTGAGAAGAATGTGTATTATGCTGGTGTTTGATGAAATGGTCTATAGATGCAATTCTACCCAGCTGACTGATGGTGCTGTTGAGGTCAACTATGTTCTCACTGATTTTCTGCCTGCTGGATCTGTCAATTACTGATAGAGGGATGTTGAAATCTCCAACTATGATAGTAGAGTCATCAATTTCTCCTTGCAGTTCTGTCAATTTTTGTCTCATGTATTTTGAAACTCTAAATGATTTCCAAGAGCTCTTTCAGACCTCACATTCTCAGATTCTGTGCCTCTGTCTAGCACATGCTCCCATGTCACTCTGAAAGCAGCCACTACAGTCCCAAGCAAACGTGTCTTAGGAAGCCCATTCCCAAGTCTGCACCCTGATTGCAAAGCTTAGGTGGCTTAGCAGGAGCAAAAAGAGAGCCTGACCCGAGACCTCAACTGTCCCCAAACAACTACAGCATTTCCTTTTTTTAGACCCAGACCCATGTATCTAAAGGTGACTGAGGCTAAATAAAAATACTGGTCCCACCATCATGGCATAAAAACTACACTCCCAGAGGACTAGGCTGAACTAAGAAGATAGATATTTTCCGCTGCAGGTGTGCCCCACTTTATTAGGCTCCAAAAACCCAGACTTAGAGAATCATAAACATTTCAAGCTGGAAGGGAGCTTACTCATCATCAGGTAAAGTCATTTTATTTTATGCATGAGAAACATAGAACAGAAAGAACTGGGCCGGCCCGGTGGCGCACTGGATAAGTGCGCCGCTTGGGAAGCGCGGCGGCGCTCCCGCCCGAGGGTTCGGATCCCACATGCAGACCGGTTCCCGCTCACTGGCTGAGCGAGGCGCGGGAGCAACACCGAGGGTTGCAATCCCGTTGCCGGTCCCCGGTCCGGTACGGGGGCAACACTGAGGGTTGCGATCCGTTGCCGGACACGGAAAAAGACAAAAGACAAAAAAAAAAAAAAAGAAAAAAAGAAAGAAGTCACTTGCTGATGGTTATAGAGAATTAAATAGATTAGGAGGATGTTACTTGCACAATAAAGGATTTTAAAGAGCTGATTTCCCAAAGGCATTGAAATATGATTCAATTTATAGAAATATAATTTGTTTACAACTTTTTTCAGGCACATATACGTGTCTCAGACTTTTCAGAATAGTGCTAATATTCTGCCAGGTCATATGTTCTAATTTAAGAATCTGAAAATATGAACAGTAGCCTACCCACAGATTGTATAAAGGCCACTAGAACAGAATTTCTTGGTTTTCTCATAAAAACTATTCTAGACTGCTGTAGCTGGAAGGAACTATAGAATAATAATGCAAGCTCCTCATTTTACAGAAGGAGAAACTGAGGCTCAGGGATGTGACCTAGCCAAGGTCACATATCAAGTTGGTGATACAACTGAGGCTAAGATCTTGGACCCTTGACTCCTAAGCCACTGCGCTTTGCCCTGCCCTCCAGCTGACCCCCTATGCCTCAGTGCTTGACTCTCTAGACTCCTCCTCCCCTTCCCTCATGGCACTGGCTCCAGCTCCTGGCTAAGAGTTTGCTGGGCCCCAGGCCTACCTGCTGAAACTGCAGAAGATGGAGAAGAGCCCCAGGACCATGTTGACAAAGGACAAGGCATTGGTAACATCCTTCCAGGAAAACTCATTTATCTGTGTGTGGCTCTGGTCGTGGTCCAGGAAGAAACTGGTGCACTTACCTGGGGCCCAGGAGAAAGGGGCAAGGGGTTCCCAAGGTCAAGGAGTCCCAAAAGAGGCTCCTGGGACCTTACAGCTTCTGTTACCCTCGACCTCATCCCAGAACTGCACCCTCCCTCAACTCTGCTTCACTGGCTGGACTAAGGGAGACAGGAGGTAGAAGGAAGAGACACAGGAGGTAAAGACAAAGGTGCTGGAGATAGAGTATATTGGGAGAGCTCAATAGCAAAGTGGGTGAACTGACATAGCCACAGCTTCCACTCCCTCTCTGACTGCATTCCTTGCCCTATAGCAGAGATATCCCTTCCATCCATATTTTGACCCTCCTGGCACACCCATGGTCCAGGGTGCAGGGGTATAGGACCTTCCCCTCATCTGAGAGATGAGCCCTTGTCACAGACTAAGTGTTGGCTCGAGAGAGAAGCAGTCAGGAAGCCCCTTGCCCCCCAGTCCAAGCTCTCTCCCTCAGAAACATAGGGCTGCAGCTAAGGTGCCCCATGGTCCTGGTTCTGATAGGCCCAACCAGAACAGCAGGCCTACCTCCAACAGGGGAAGACATGAATATGTACAACACTAAATAGCTCACAAAGCCCTTTTCACTATGCTGTCACTTCTGATCCTGATGACCTCCGGGGATGGTGCTGTAATTCTCCCCCATTTTATGAATGAAGAAACTGAGGCTCAGAAAAATAGAGATATTTGCTCAAAGTTACATACTTAGTGAGTAGACCAAATTCTGCCTGCTTGATTCTAAACCTGGTACTATTTCTTCTGGGCACATAGATCTCAGGAGGAGGCTTGTAGGACAGTGCAGTGAGGGAGCTAGGCCAGGCCTGCTGGGCAGCAACAGTGTCCCCATTTGGGGCAGGCCAGGCCCAGGTCTCCTCAGTCCTCTCCAGCTCACTACAGCAGGGAATCAGCTTGCCCCACCCTTCTTCACAGCCTGAGGTGTCTCTGTTTCTACTCCAAGACCCAACATGTGTACTCCTCACACATAAACTGCTTGTGAAACTGAGTCTCTGTTGGAGAAAGAGCCTGGCCCCATTCCTCTCTGAAACAGAGAAACCCCACGATTGGGGTAAACACACCAGTCACAAATAGTAATCACATACTTGAGTAAAACATACAGGTTCCAAGGTGTTCTATGTCTGTTTTCTCACTTCATCCTCACCCATTTTCAAGGTGAGGAAGCTCAGGCTCTGCCCCCATCTGTACGGCCACAGGCCCTTCTGGTCCAGGCAAGAGTTGAGATAAATCATGTTCCTTTCCTGTAAATATTGCCACCAAGACATCTGAGGCTGGGAGGGGCTGAACTTGGAGTTTATCAGGGTAGCACTGCAGAGCTTGCTGCTCCCATAGGCCAGCATCATTCGCCAAAGGGTATCATGACCAAAGCCACTGGGACTCCCAAGACCTTCTTATGCCAGGGCCCCAAAAAACCTAAGACAGGAAGTAATGCGAGCAAGGGAAATCAGGGAGGGGAAGGGGGCAAAGGACTGCTGCATACTCCCTCCCCATGGGTCCACTGGAGTGGTCTCTTCTGGGTCTCAGGGCTGACCCCAGCAGGACCAAACACCGCTGTTCCTGAGCCAGGCACCTCATCACCTGCCACCCCAGCCCACTGTCACCTGGCAGCACAGCATCCCAGCATCTCTGCCTCTCAGAGCTAGGAAGCAGATGCCCAGAGTCTGTCTTCCAATTACCAGGCACTGCCATACCTGCATTACTTCACAGCTGTTTTATTTTTAATGAATGATCACTTGTCAGCTATATTATCTCTCATTATTTCCTCCATTCATGAAGCACTTCCACATCTAGGATTTCCATTGGCCCCGTGAACTCTGCCAAGCAAGGGTTATGATCCCTCCTTTCCAGGTAAGGCAAAGAAGACTCAGAGAGGGGAAGAACCTAGCTCAAGATCACACTGGAAGTGGCAGAACGAGACCTACAACTTCGCCCTATGTGTCCTTTTCCTTTGTACAGCCAACAGGACTGAACATTATACTGGTTACATGCTCAGCCTGGCCAGGTGCTGGGAGAACCTTGGTCCCTGCCTTCATGGAACTTACAGCCTATCCAGGGAAACGAGACTCCAGCACACACATGGAGACTCTAGTTATGGTGGCACCTATCTTATACATGGGGAAACTGAGGTTTCAGAATAGTTAGGTGACTTGTCCCAGTAATTGGTGGAGCCCAGATTTGAACTGTGTCTCCTTTCCAATTAAATGCAATTTGCAGCTGAATGCAGGTCCCAGGTGCTAAAGGGTGTAAACTTGAGAGTAAGGGCTGTAGAAACCCTCAGAGATAAGGAACAATCCATTAATTCAGCAAACATTTGGTCATGAGCAAGATTTGGTACCTGGTGCTTGGGGGATTAAGACCTGGTTTCATCTCTCAAGCACAGTCTAGCAAGGGTATCCAGCCATGTACAGAGAAGAAGTAACCAGACTTCTAAGGCAGCACAGAAGAGGGGTTCAGCCTGCCAGGGGGCTGAGAGAAGCCTTCTCTGAGGAGAGGGTCAAAGCTGAGGCTTCCCGCAGCACTGGCCTCCCAGAGTAGATCTTATCACTCTGCAGCTTCTTGAATGCACTCAGGAAGGAGTCCAACTCCTTCATTTGTTATACTGGCCCTGCTCATCCAGCTTCATCTCTCCCATCCCCCTTGACCCAAACTTGGGACCTCCCTTTGGTCTTGAGTTGGGTGGTGTTCCTCTTTGGGGAGCCTCTGACACCCCCCACCCCACCCCCAGAGCTTGTTAGGTGCTCCTCCTCTGAATGGTCGCATCCCCTTGTGCTCACCATGTGACACTTGGCACTCTGTATTGGCATCGCCTACCTTGTCTTCCTCCTTTAACACAGGGGATGCAACTTGAGGGCAGACTGAGGTCCCCTGTGCCCAGGATGAGGCCTGACAATACAAGTTGTTAAATGTTTGTTAACTTAATACATCACTCTGGTGCTTCCCCAAGGTCCTTTCACTGCACCAAATCCTACCTACCCCACATCTAACACTGCTCAACACGGCCACCAAGAAGCCTTCTCAGACCAACACTCAACAATGCAGCCCTTTCAACACACCCAGCAACCACCCAATTCTTGTGATCTTCCATTTACTCATTTAATTATTATTATTATTATTATTATTATTATTATTATTATTATTATTATTATTATTATTATTATTATTATTATTATTATTATTATTATTATTATTATTATTATTATTATTATTATTATTATTATTATTATTATTATTATTATTATTATTATTATTATTATTATTATTATTATTATTATTATTATTATTATTATTATTATTATTATTATTATTATTATTATTATTATTATTATTATTATTATTATTATTATTATTATTATTATTATTATTATTATTATTATTATTATTATTATTATTATTATTATTATTATTATTATTATTATTATTATTATTATTATTATTATTATTATTATTATTATTATTATTATTATTATTATTATTATTATTATTATTATTATTATTATTATTATTATTATTATTATTATTATTATTATTATTATTTTGGCTGATGGCTGCTCTGTGCCAGGCCTTGTCTGTTCTGGGGACAGAACAAGACCGACCCAGGCTGCACCCTCAAGAAGCTCTGAGTCTGGTGGAGGCGGCAAGTGTGTGTAGGGACAAGTGTTATGTTGGACAAGGGAATGACCCAGCTCCCAGGTGCACAGAAGCAGGAGAGACTAAGCCTAGGGTGGGGGCAGGGGAAGGTTTTACCAACAAGTGGGGCGGGCGGCGGGGGCGGGGAGTAGCATTCTTTGCAAAGGGAATTGCAGCTGCGAGAGCACGATGAGGAGGCTGGATCCCAGCAGCAGAGAGGGGTGGCCGGAGGTGAAGCGAGCAGAGAGGCAGCAGCTGGCGGACGTGCAAATGCGACCTGTGGGTAGACTAGGTCCCAAACGGGGATGGGTTGGGAGTGGAGGGTGGCTTGGAAGGGGACAAACTGGAGAAAGGGCCGCCAGCGATGAGACTGGCGAGTGGGGGAGAGAGATGTGAGCCAGGAGAGACGGCTGCGGAAGGAGGGGAGGGCTAAGGTTTCTGAAGAGGAAAGTGGAGGTGCCGGGTCCCCCCAGGAAGCAGGGACGCATCCCGGAGGGAGAATGATCTGGGTGGAGCCTTCCACAAGACTGGGAGACACACGGCACAGAAACTGGAGCCGTCGCGCCCTGTCCACTTAGAGAAGCCCACCGTCCCCCGCCCCACCTGCCAGCCCCACCCTGCTCCTCCCTGCAGGCCACTACCCGTCCCCAGGCAGAGACCCCGAGGCCGAGGGACCGGCCAGCGGAAGAGCTCAGCCGGGACTGGACGGGGCGGGCGTCCTGTGTTCCCCAGCCCGGGCCTGCTTGCTGGCAGCACCCTGGGGACGGGCATTTCTTGCCCCTTCAGCACCCGCGGAGGCTCACCTGGGGACAACACATTCCTATGTGGGGGTGGAGGGCCCGCACTCCTTCCCCTTTCCCTGCGTGGTGGAGAGGGGCCAGCCCAGGCGCGGGGCGCCGCTCGCATCCCCAGCCTCTCACCCTGGCTCTTAGCTCACAATCCCCGAGCGCAGGGGAGGGGCTCGCGGCCTTCGGGTGGGGTGGGGGGGGGCTTAATTTCCAGGGGTGCCTTAGGTCTTGTAGTGGAGACAGCGGGGAGGAATGGAGGGGTCTGCGAGGAGGGGACTAGTCTGTCACCTTGGCGAGTCTAGGAAGGCTAGGCAGATGAGGAGACCAGACTTGCGGTGGGCGTCTGCCCGGAGCAGTCCCTGGCGTCAGAGAGCCTGGTGTCGGAGGGGACTGGAAGTGAGTCCGGGGAGCTAAGGCTGTGGAGGGACGCTGGGGTCCAGCCTGTGGAAGGCCCCTAGAATGTAAGCTCCATGCAGGGAGGGCGTTTTGTGTGTTTGCGTCACTGCTGTTCTTGGTGCCTGTAAGAATGGCTTAGGTATACAGTAATCTCTGTTGGATGAATGACAAGGTAAGGAATTTGGACTCAATCCTGAAGATAGTACGTTTTTAAGTAGGAAAGTGGCCTGTCAGGTTGTTTCAGAAAGACGATCCTGGCAGCCATGGTGGAGGAAGGCTCTGCAACACTGCGTGAGGCCGAGGCAGGCCAGAACAAGAGGGATCCGGAAGGAGCGGGTGTGAGATGGAATCCCCAGGATGTGGGAGGGGAGTGAGGAAGAGGTAAGCATCTCAGAGGTATTCATATCCAGCAGTTGGATGGATAATGTGCTACAGAAACTTTTTAGTATTGGGCAGCATTTCAGGCACCAGTTCTAAGGCAGGGCCCCCCTCACCTGCCCACATGCTCCTACCTACCGCAATGCTAAACTGCAGTAGCAGTAGCTTGGAGGACCCCACAGGAGAATGTGCGAAAGGGAAGGGGTGGAGCTTGGAGGTCAAAATGACACTCTGTCTGTCCTCGCAACCAGCAGAGGAAAGAGAGGTATAGGACCTAGCGAGTCCAGAGT